TGGGTGTTTACAGAAAGAGGATTACATTAAGCTGAAATGACTATACATTTTCCAGTTTAATATTTGTCCATCAGCTGTTTAATCGTATTTAGATAATTGTGTAAATAAGATGTTGTAGCCCTTGCCCTCTCTGCTGAAGGAGCCTGCAAGCTTTCAGCATGGGTGAGCCACCATTTTGTAGAAGCTAGCTCGCTCTCCTCCCACCTCAGTTAGCCCAGACCTAAGTTCCAAGCAAGTTACGATCCTGACATTGCAGTCCTGTTTGGAAAGCCAGAGTATGGAGCAGAAGGCCAGCATGGAGATCTCCGGAAACACCGGGAACTGCTGTCTGAATGGGGTCTAAGGAGTGCATTGTCGTATGCAAATGCCGAGCAGCGGCTCTCCCTTTTAAAAAGGGCCTGGCCTCTTCCTCCTTCTCCCAGTTCTCGATTCTGGGTGATTTGGAAAACTTTTGGAATAGTCGGGGTTAACTGTTTTTTTTTTTTTTTTTTTTTTTTTTTTTTTTTTTTTGACTGGAAGCTGAGCAATCAGAGATAACAGATTTTGCTGTGGTTGGTTGATTTGGCAGAAAAGCATGAACAGTTTTGGTTTAAATGATTGAATAACCTGATTAGCATTGTTTTGGGGTGCTTTTTTTTTAGGGGGGTTGTTAAAGGCACAACAAAGCAATTTGAAGGGTAATCAGATCACTGTCCCTTCCCGGTTGACAATCTTGCTCTTGAGAAGGCTGTACTTCTCCTAGACCAGTCCAGTTGGCCACTAAGATGACCAAGCTGAGCAATAAAGCCACCTTCCTTCATTTGTCAGTGCATTCCACACATACACTACAGCGTGTGTGGTTTCCTACAGGGGCTTGGAAGAAGATAGCATTTGGAAAAATTATGTAACCTCAACCAGTTCCTTGCGTTTTTCTGTTTTTCACATCGAGAGACCTGCAGATTTTCGAGCAAAGGTTCAGAATGTTCCAACAGTATGTAAGTCAGGCTTTAGAAAAATTCCACCCTTACCTTTTCACAATTAGAAAGGTTATAAATAATGTATTTGGCTGAAAAGGAGGCTCAGCCTGTGGCAGATGGTATCCTTCTAGAGGGCTGGGGTTTCTGGGAAGATGGCATTCTTACAGATCGGAACTTTAGCAGACTCGGAAAGAGCCAAGCTCCTCATAGGGAGTAGACATGTGCTTTATGGATCTTAGAAAAGCTTACAACTTGGCTCCTAGGATGAGAATATTGTGTCACACTGGGGTTAGGAGACCCACGGCCAATTTCTGCCAACTTTTAAATTACACCTCCCAACACTGGGATCTGAGGCCTGTGTTTTGGTTAGTGTGCCCTGTGGCAGCATTTGAACTTGGAATTTCTAGTGCCGGAGTTTAGTCAGTTGGATTAATTGACTCCCAGAATGTTGATGTCTTTAAACCTACTGGCCACCGACTGACTAGAAAACTTGCCACACAAGTTATGTCTTTCAAAGTGCTCATATAAATAGACACCGAGGGGGCAGAGCAGGAGCCACCAGCAGCCTCTTTGGAGACATCTGTGGGGTTGATTTTGAAAAACCTGGAGGGGGATCTCTTGCAAATTAATGAACAAAGGCTTGTGAAGCTAAGAAGTTGGGATTTAAAGGTTCGCTTGACTATAATGCTTTTAATCTTGAAAGGTGAAAGGGAGGAGGCGGTCCCAGTGACCCAAAGGAGTGCTTCCTTTCAGTGGCCCTCTGCTGTAATAGGTGGGCTCAGCCTTGTGAGCATCCAGGCCATTTTGAGATAAGTCTCGGAGATAAGTGTAGGCTGTGCTAGTGGCTCAGCCGGCTTGAGTGTGAGAAGGTGGGAAGGCCTGGCAGGACTCAGGCCACAGTAGAGCCTGAAGGATGAGCATCTCCTAGTCAGAAATGTAAGAGCCATGGGACTACATCCAGGTCTCAGGAGCTGGGTGGAACTTCCTGGTATTTGCTGGGAGGTCATCCCGGATTCACTGGGCTGAGGTGTTGAAGCCGCTGGAAGGTGTCCCTTTGCTGTCTGCCCCTGCCATCCCTTGACCTGACTGCTGCTGCATTTGCTTAGAGCATTCTTCCATTTTCCGGTGGAAGTTTCTGTGGAGCCAGGGCGACGTCTCAGTCGGTAGTGTGCTTGTCGCACATGCACGAAGACTGAAAATGGATCCCCAGCACATACCAAAGAGCCCCATGCGGCTGCTGATAATCCCAGTGCTGAAGAGCTGGGGCAGGAGGAGCCTCCTAGCTAACTGGTCAGCCGAAACCATGAGCTCTAGGTTTAGTGAGAGACAGTCTCTGAAACTATGGTGTTGAGTGACTAAGGAGTATGTCTGATATTAACCTCTGGCTTCTAGACACACCCAGGCATAGGCAAGAAGACATCATTTTAAAAGTTCTATCTGCTAGCCTTCTGTTATTTAAGGCTTCCTAATTTTTTGTGTTCCTAATGCATGTGTCCATGTACATGTTCATGTGCTAGAGCGTGTGTGAGGAGCTCAGAGGAGGCTTACCAGGAACCTTTTCCTGTTCAGCTGTCTCCTCAGTGGCCCTATGGAAGGCATCACAGTGATGAAGTAGGGAAGTGAAGGAGGTGTCCAGGGTAATCTAATACAGTCAGATCGAATCAGGGCACAGGGGTAAGCAAGGGCAGGCAGCAGGCACATAGAGGTCTATTTTCCATATATGGATAATAATGAATTGCATAGCACTTTTACATAGGAGCTTTAATTTTATGAAAGCATTTCAGAATGTTGTCACTCACATTATACATAATTCCCTTTCCTCCTACCGTTGGTGCAAAGAGTCACATTATATTAAAGTGCTGTAGTACATCACCTGCTTCCTAATAGGGGACACACTTGGGCACAGGCTGGCTCTTACCCATCTTTGTGCTCTTCCTACCAGCCAGTGCATCAACAAGCAAATGTAATATATAGCACAAAGGAAAGCAAAGCAGCCTGGCTATTTCCTGAAAACCTCTGCAAGTTTTTGGACGTCTGTATGTTTCTACAAGTGTGAGCTTCCACGCTGTGTTATATTAACATAGGAAAATGTCAGAATGTCTAGGTAAAGGGTAATAATTTCTTTTTTAGAAATTGGGCCAAAGTGGAAGAACATCGGCTGCCCTTCACCTGCAGCCTCACCATTCTCTAGCAGTGATCTCAGCCGTTGATTTAGAGTCCAACACCATCGTTCCATTATTACAGTAGAGTGAGTGAGATGGGAGCTGGTGGATGGCTAACTGGATCAAGTAGTTCTCTGGCTCTGGTTTTGGCAACTTGCTCAGTGTCTTTGCACTGTGGACTAGGGGAGGCTCTTAGTGAAATTTCAAGCTATTGGATTAATGGCAGGGCTTCACGAGCACATTGAGAATGTCTGATTAGAGAAATAAAATGTAAAAATGGCTATAAAGTAGAAGGTATGAGAAAAAAAGCTGTCACAGGGCCTCGTTAGAGAGGTAACTGTGTTTTACATAAATAATGCGACTCCAGCTCACCTAGTTCTATGGAGGAGCTCCAAACTTACACATTACAGCAATGTATGTGCACTACAAAATTAACAACGATGGATGTCAGAGTTAATAATAACCCGAAGAGCTTTACATTTGAAGTAGCTTAAAGAAGATAATGATATAAAAATATTCTTGTCCCCAAACTGGCTTTTCTGGTTGTTCATTGCCTTCCAACAATGGAGTGTTCTGTAATCTTGTTTCCCTGTGGACCAGCCAGTCTGAAACTTAAGCCCTTAAGTATCTACTCACAGGACCAGGAGGCTCCGTGCTTCAGTCTCACCCATAAGACTCAATAGGGAGTTAATTTAGCTACTAAAGGCTATGGGTGAACCAGGAATTAAGTCACAGCCGTTACCATAACCAAAATTATCTGGGAAAAATGCTTTTGTTTATTGAAAATGTGGTTGTGTTCTCTATTTTTTATTTTAAACCTTCTTTTAGTGATACATTAACATTATTGTATTCATTTTACTTATTAAATGGCTGAAAATTTTCAGTGCTTTTTCTGTTTGTCTGAGCCAGAGTCTCACTATGAGTCTGATAAATCAGACTTCCCTAGAACTCAGAGATTCGCCTGCCTCTCCCTCCCAAGTACTGGAATTAAAGGCAAGCACCACTATACCCAGCCAGCTCTTCAAGGTTCTGTTTTTGTAGCAAGATAAAAATGACAAGTAGACATTTATTTCTTTTTCTTTTTTTCTTTTCTTTTCTTTCTTTCTTTCTTTCTTTCTTTCTTTCTTTTTCTTTTTTTTGTAGAGGAAACTCTTAAAATGTTAATTAGCACCAAATGTAGATATTTAAATGTTTTGTGGTCATTTGAAATTCTCAACTCAAGCTTTCTTTACTAGAAAAGGCAACAATCAGGTCTGAAGGTGCTTGTCTTCTGAGACAGGCTCTTGAAATAGTTTGCTTAAGTGTGACCTCTGAGCACTGTTAATTCACCTGCAGCTGAACTCTATACTGTGAACATGAAAATGTAAAAAAAGATTTCTCCTACTTGCCCATGACTGGCTGTTGGGGGGTGGGGGTGGGGTTGCTGGTGAGCTGCAGGTGCTGATGGGAGAGGTCAGAGATAGGGCTCCAGACTGGATTTCAGAGAAGCATCCAGGCAGTGTCCATGGCTCTGGTGTCTGGACCGTGCTCCGCATAGCAACCGTGTCCTGTTCGGTCACCATGCGGCAAACCATCCTACTTTTATAAATTTCAGTCATAACCTCCTCATCACCCCCTTGGGTTTGGATGACTTGGAATTGGTGTACATTGTGAGCACTGGGTGGCTTGGACAGAGATTAGGTAAAGGCTGCTAGAGCAGATACTGGAGTGTGGGCTGCTGCTTGCTACTAGATAAGCCTTTGATGATCTAGTTGATGAACTCTAAGAAGCAGAAGCTTTGGTCCCAGTTGATTTGGAGAGACTGAAAGCAGCTCCCCCAGCTGAAGCTGTGGGCAGCCCACCTTGTGCCGTGGTGTATTACACATGTCCTTCCTCCCCACAGAGTATGATCTCCTCCATTGTGAACAGCACGTACTATGCAAATGTCTCAGCAGCAAAATGTCAAGAATTTGGAAGGTGGTACAAACATTTCAAGAAGACAAAGGATATGATGGGTAAGCAAAAAGGGGAAAAGCCCATCCCCTTTTGCAGTGGTGACATACCATTGCATGTCATTTGGGGGTTTATCAAAGTCACATCGAAAGCCAGATCTTTTGATTGCCCAATTAGAGATCAATTTAGAATGTTTCTTTGGGGGTGGGGGAGTGGGTATGAGTATAATGAGATAATTAAATTCAATAAATGTTTGTGTTTAAATCAGCCACACTGACTCGGTTGTCAGACATGCAGGAATTCGAGGCGTGAGGAGGAGAGCTGTCATTTTGTAACATCTCAGTGAAGACCTAACCAGGCCTTGAATAACTAATATCAGCTGTGATTTCTCACAGAGATAATCATGCTTTAAGGATTTTTGCTTCTGTTTGCAAAAAAAAAAAAAGAGGAAGGGCCTGTTTTCACACTGGCTTTTAAACAATATTTAACTGCATTTGACTTGCTAAAGACAACTTGGTCTCTACCATTGAGGTGGAGTGGTTGTTATGGCTCCAGGCCGGGTAAGTGGGCACTTGCTCTCCCATCTGGAACAGAACCAACACTGTCATTTCTGAACTTTGAATCCCAGCCTAGCTCCCTCTCTGAGCATGCCGCGTTAGGTCAACATTTGTTACATAGTGCATGCATCAGGATGAGCTGAGGTGTAAGACGACAGGTCACGGTTGCCTGCTGTGGCTGAGCATTTGGAGTCTGGCATTTTCTGTTGTGCCTCTGTTAGTGCTCATGGGAGCAAACGCTATGGCTAAGGTTAATGTACCTTCCTCTTTCACATACTGTACCCTCCAAAGGATACACGTTAAAGTTAAGCAGGAACGGAGTGTCTCACAGATAAAGTGTTACACCCTATTATAAATCTTTGTTTATCGCCGTTACATTCATTTAACGGTGACAACAATAGTGACTTTTCCTAAAGACTTAGAGACAAGAGACCCACATTCTGAGCATGTTTTAGCTTTTAATATTTGAAGAAAAGCCATTCATCTACCAAAACAGATTCTTTGCCTTTTATAGCTTAGGGCTATAATGAAGACAATGCATCAATTTTTGGAATAATTGCATGAATTACTGTTCTATGTGAATGGCCTGCTTGGGCTGATAGCACTGGTAGAAATTGAAGGTTTCTTCTCGTTCTTAGTTATATTTTGCATATATCATTGAGTATAGCGATATGACCAGTTCCTCTGATTATAAAATCTGCACATTTAAGGAAAAGAGAAATGATGATTAAAATCCTAATAGAGCGCATGCATGGGAAGTATGGCTGCTTAAAGAGGCTTACCTATTTAGATTACGCTCTGGTTTCAGCCTTCCTCTAGTCTCTTCTGTGTAGCAGCAAAGCATTTGAGACACTTAGAGCTGACTCTCAGCCAGTCCATACAAGTGTCCTAGCCAGAGGAGAAGCATTCCTCCCGGGTAGGTGGAAATAAATTGCAGAACCGTGACAGTGTCACCGTTGTACCAGAACAGCTCTTTGCCCTTCCTTAGCACCTGCTAGGAACCACATTCCCTATTAAAAGCCTTCGCGCTTTAGCCACACTGGGTGTGCTGGCTCGCTCTGCTGTACGTCTTTGCTTCCTCTTGAGAAGTATTTGCTGATGTCCTTTGTGTCTGTGATGGGACTTAAATGAAACAAGCCACGTTTGATGCCAAGCATGGCAGTGAGCGCATATGCCCGTCTTACTGTACTCTATCACACAGATTGCTTCTTTCTTTTGCCTGGGTTGCTAGAGTTAATGCAATAAGGAGGTATCTGTAATTTTTTTCTCTAGTTCTTTAATCATGGTTTATTTGCTTTTAGTTTAGCTCATGGTTTCTAGTTGTCACTTAGCAAATGGTATTGTTTGGAGGTCTAATTTTTTCTCTAGTTCTTTAATCATGGTTTATTTGCTTTTAGTTTAGCTCATGGTTTCTAGTTGTCACTTAGCAAAAGGTATTATTTGAAGCCATCTTAAAACAAACAGTTGTTGCTTTATCAGCCTTCTTGTGCTTATAACTGAGAACCAGTAATAGTTTGACCCAAAAGCAAACACACACAAAAAAATGTGTATCTAGTAGGTTTTATGCCTTAAATCAGTTGTTCTCAACCTTCCTAATGCTGTAACCCTTTAATACAGTTCCTCATGTTGTGGTGACCCCCAGCAATAAAATTGTGTTTGTTACTACTTCGTAACTAATTCTGTTACTATTGTGAATTGCAATGTAAATACTTTTTGGAGAGAGAGTTTTCCCAGAGGCGTCATGATCTATAGGTTGAGAACCACAGCCTTAAACCTAAACCACACTTCAAAACGAGACTGTGTGTCCTGCACTTAGTGTGTGTAGAATTATCTGTAGAGGAAAACAGCCACAGCCTGGTAAGTTGTGTCCTGGATCATTGCTCTTCAGTGTGCCCTTTGCTTGCTGCCTTCTTTATATTTCTTATATTAGAAATGATCAGAGTTTTTTCCATTGCTGTCTGAACTTGATTTTCCTTTTTGTCTACTTTAGTTGAAATGGATAGTCTGTCTGAACTATCCCAACAAGGTGCCAACCACGTCAATTTTGGCCAGCAGCCTGTCCCGGGGAACACAGCTGAGCAGCCTCCATCCCCTGCGCAGCTCTCCCACGGCAGCCAGCCCTCAGTCCGGACCCCTCTTCCGAACCTGCACCCTGGGCTTGTGTCAACACCTATCAGTCCTCAGCTGGTCAACCAGCAGCTGGTGATGGCTCAGTTGCTGAACCAGCAGTATGCTGTGAACAGACTCTTAGCCCAGCAGTCCTTAAACCAACAATACTTGAACCACCCTCCCCCTGTTAGTAGGTCTATGAATAAGCCTTTGGAGCAGCAGGTTTCAACCAACACGGAGGTCTCTTCAGAAATCTACCAGTGGGTGCGGGATGAACTGAAACGAGCGGGAATCTCCCAGGCAGTGTTTGCACGCGTGGCTTTTAACAGAACTCAGGTCAGTTTGGTTCTGTTGTTCTGCCTCTCTTCTCCTTCTCTTGCTGCACTCCTGAGCCCCAGCCATGGTGATGTTTGTTCTTTCACCCTGTGTTCGCTTTGTTAACATGGGATCATGTTGCCTGTTAGCAATAGATGATGAAGAAGGGTCTAGCCCAGTGTCTTTTTCCATGTTTCTGTTCATACCAGACTTATACAGGAATGTGCTTTGTTGAAAACCAAATTTTTTTTTTTTTTTGATGCTATAGAGCTTGACGGTGATTTCTGTCATTTAATTCTCCGCAGCCGTTTCTTAGCTTGCCTTCCTCCATGATTTGTTTATGTTCTTCGGCACCTCATTCTTCTGTTTCCCTGCATCTTTGAAGCAGTTACATGCGTTGTACAAAGTATGGTTTCTTCTGGCACTGTGTGCATACTGTGTGGTTTGGCCACACTTGCTCTAACACCTCCCCTTCTGGTGCCCCCTCTTCCAGGGTCCTAGAGGTTTGATATTTATTATTATTGTTCTTGTTGTTGTTTTTGACAAGCCTTACTTCAGACCAGAGAAAGCACACTTTTAAAAAATAAGTCCAGAGAATAAATATTAGAGAGCCATAAAAATCTATTATCATGCCATTTGGTGATGGCATGTGCCTTTAATCCCAGCACTCAGGAGGCAGAGGCAAGGGGATCTCTGAGTTGGCGACCAGCCTGGTCTACAGAGTGAGTTCCTGGACAGCCAGGGCTACACAGAGAAACCCTGTCTCAAGGAAACAGACACATCCTCTCATCCTCTTACCACTGTAGATCACTGGACACTGGAGGAATGATCCGGCCTGGTGGCGTTTCACGCCTGTCTGTACAGCAGGCCTTGTGCTGGCTTGGCCTGGAGGCCTTAGTTTGAATACTCAATTTAGATTTCCCATTGAGGCCTACAAATGTTCCTAATGTTTATGCCTTTCTCCTCCTGGGCGAACTCCTATGAGATCTCTGTAGGGTAGTATCTTTTATCTTAGTGTTTATAAAGGTTTTTTTTTTTTTTTAAATATGTTCCGAGACTAATATCATGTATATGGTGTTTATTTTAAACCAAGGCACACTAAATAGCATTTAACATTGATAAAATAATGGTTTTTCAGTTTTCTTGTGTTTACTGTTTCTTTTTCCTTTTTTTTTTAATTGTCTTTTTTTGGCCTAATTTTTATTTTTAAATTATTTTGTTTATTATGCAATTATAAGAATAAAATTCTAGTACAAAAATAAGGTAGTATTAATTTCTTGTCTGCTGAGTTCCTGAACCTGGGAGAGTCACAGCTGTTGTTTATGTTTGGCTGGCTGTGGCTAGACCGGGGTTCCTAAGGCCTGGGGGAGCTTTCCCAGTTCTTGTTCTCAGTTTCTTCAGCAGCTTTTTTGTTCTCTGCTTTTTTGTTTGTCATTGTTCTGTTTTTTAAAGGATGAATTTTACACTGCGTTATATCTTAGGTTAAAGCTTTGTATTTTTTTTTTTATTAAACCAAGATTCGTGTTTTTACAGCTTTAAAACTGTTCATTATTAGCTAGTAAATTTAATATGACCCTTTAATTTGTCTGGGGGCAATAATTTAAAAAAATCATCAAATCAGAAGTCACCCCCTACAAATTCTGATTTGTGGTGGCATTCTTTATTTTGTAAATACAGTAATTACTAGTAATGCTTAGTACTGGGCCAAAAAAGTCAGATAATGTTTGTTGAATTCAATTAAAAGCCTTCAGACAAAGACAGCATTGACACAGACACAGATTATAGATTTACTGATAAGCCCTGGAAAAATGGAGCAAATAGTTGTATATTAGAGCACAAAGGCTATGTGCTGTTTATGTGAAGAATGAAGGGGGTGGGGCGGCACAGTTCTTAGCTGTGGCTGCGAAGCGCTAACTACTTGTCTGTCTGGTTCTTACACAGAACATTTGTGGCTATCTGCAGGATTTACTGCAGTACATGGTGAATTTTTTATTTTTATATAAATTAGCACCTTTAAAAAGGTGGGTTCTCTGTGGCTCCTATGAGGGGCAGCGAGTTCATTTTTCTGAGCATTGACAACATGGTGTAGCCTCATCCACATACCACTTTCAAAATGGGCAATTTAAAAAAAAAAAAAAAAAAAAAACACTAGCCAGAATCGTTTGGAACTCCGGTCTTATTGATAAATAGACTTAATTTCAAACTTTATATATTGGTGATTGGTATTTCTCAGTGGAAAGAGATGTTGGACCTTGTTTGGATTTTTTTTTTTAATACGATTTGTTTTATGTGGGTATTCAAATGTTCCTTGAGAGCCAGCTTCTGCGCACACGAGCATGTATGTATTTTTCAGTGGTCATACTTAAAAACCACACACGCGCGCCCACACACAGCTGCATTTAGTTCAGTGATTATACATTCATAGGAATGCATGTAGTGTGTTTATTCCAGAGTGTGTGCATTTCAATAAAAGCAGGTGCAGAGTGAGAGTAGGGTGTGAGTGCGGAGCACGAAAATACACATGCTTATGCATATGTGGCGACAAAGAGCTCTGCAGTTCCATCGCACATCTCAAGTCGGTGTGCAGCTCCAGCCCGGTCCAAACATGCCTGTGAAATATGTGCATGAAGAGGCGAAGTTCTGGTACGGGTAGAGAAAGGCACTGCGCCCTACACAGCGTGTGCTAAAACATCGGTGTCATCACTAGCATGCTTAGAAATTGAGGATTATTTTAGTCCTTGACAGCTCTGAGTAACTTTAAAATCCTGGATTTCCTGTTCTAACTCCGGAGACTCTCCTCATTATCTCAATAAGGCTTCCCAAATTAAACCACAGTCCTCTCAAGACTGTCACATAGGATGCTGGAGAAAAAAAAAAAAAAAGTCTACCATTGCGGAAAATTTATGGTGAAATTTACACAATTACTTGTTTTAAGGAATCTTCCCTTCCTGAGTGATAGGCATATGTTATTTAATTGCTGCTGGAGACAGGAGCTTTTAGCATATGCCATTCGTTCAGTTACGTCTACTTGATGTCTTTTTAATGGAAACCTATGGCCAGACATGAGTTGCCAGTGCTCCGACACTTAACACTTCTCAGTTCACCTCTCTCTAACACTGTTGTTTAAAGAAAATGGATTTCTTTGAAAACTTAAACAGAATCCAGAGTTTGACTCTGCTCCTGCTCCTGTCTCTTCTGCCTTGCTCTCCCCTGCCCTGTCTTTGGCACACTTTATTCTCCAGTAAAATAAAGAGTTAGATGGATTATTCAAAACCGATAACAGTAATGGACCATCATGTAATGTTTTATTGAATTTGAGTTCTGTGAATTATGTGGTGGAGAGAAATTCACCTGCCGAAGTATAACAGAAATCACTACTGTGTTCCTATAATTCTTCAGTATGAATTAAGAAAAGTCCACCATCCATATTACTACTGAATAAAAGGTAAAAAAAGTACCATTATCTGGTGTGACAGCTCTTGAGCCTACCAAGGGACAGAGATGAATGCATCTACTTATAACTTTCTTGGCATGATTCCATGAGCAGGTGGAGTTTGAAAATAGTCTTTCACCTGGACATGTGATCAAGAACTCACCAAACAGGCATGTAGCCTGAAGAATACTGTGTCATTCTCTTTAGGAGGGAGGTTTCTTCAAGTCACTTAATTTTTTTTTTTTCTGCAGGCTTTGAAGTTCCACAGAACTGATAAAATCTATTTTAATCAGTGATTATGTTCAAAGAGGAGACAAACTGGAGGCCAGACAGGCTTTTTGTTCAGATTGGCCGTCTCTTTCACTTATCTGCTGTTTTAAAGAATTTATAATGAGCTTTTGGAAGAACTGATAGTATTTTATTGGAGGTTTTTCTTTCTTTTGCAATTACTAATGAATTTTACTTGTAACAACTTGTATAACTCTTGTTGGAATGTGAAAAAGAGAGGTTTAGGAATTTATTAGTAAATGCATTCTTTAATTGGAAAAAAAAATCAGGGATCTCACTTAACCACTAAATGATGACAATGCAGAATAATTTTATGTTTTCATATATACAACACACATCTATTTATTTATAAGATATGAAGTCCCAATGAATGGCAGCTTCTTATTTTCAGTGAAATAAGTGCTGGGAACTCCCTTCATAGCATACAAGTTTTTTTGAGTTCTCTTTAGAAACAAGATTACTAATGATTTTACCTAATTTAGTTCAGTGAATTTATTGAGCACTTATGGTACATAGAATGGCTGCCTCTCATTGGTACCTCAGCTGGTTCTGTGATGTGATAGGGCGCATGGCCTTCACATACTATTTCTTTAGCGTGATGGATTGTTGGTAATGATGTCTGTATCAGTCACACATGAGGAATTAATACAAATGACCTTAACCTTACCTGGCAACTCTGAAGTATGGTTGATGGACATAAAATGGGGAAGGGGACTGCATACATATTGGATTCATAAGCCATTCAGACAACAAGCTGGACAGGATCAAGACATGCACTCTAATATCTTGGCTCTAACAGTATTCATTTGTATCCAGACTAGTCTATACTATTCTACGTAATTAAAAAACCAAAACAACAAAACACTAATCATATGGTTTCTAACAATATTTTCAGGCATTTCCACCAGGGGGCACTCCCCTCATTGAAAGCTCTGGGCCAAAAAAAAAAAAAAAAAAAAAAAAAAAAGAAAGAAAGAAAGAAAGAAAAGAAAAGTTTTCTGAAACACAGTAGACTGTCTACACTGGCTGCTTTGAAGCTCTTTGACTATCTGGGGTTTGGAACACTGTACTCCAGGCAGGGAACCTGCATTCACTCCAGGCGATGATTAAGTCTGGGGAAAGGTCTCGGCAGAGGCGGCATTCCTGTGCTTAAATGGAAAGGTTTGCTGACTTTAAACCAAATTCTCTCCTCAAGTGATGCTCTGTCTTCTAGCTGAGATAGACCCCTGATTTAGTCTTCTGTTAGCAAGACCTGAAAGACAGCACTTCTGTGCCCTCCACCATGGGTTTGACTTTTTCATTATAGTTCTGCTGTGGAACATTTTTAATAGAGATATCGCAAATGTTACCTTGACTGTAGTGAAGGCCCTTGATGGCCTTGGCTGAAAGGACTCATGGCCTTGGTTCTTTATTAACATTCTTCATAGCTCATAATGATTATTGGAAGGTACTCTAATTTCTGTAGTCTATATACACATAATTGTTTTAGTATTTATCAACAATGTCAGTATAAGGCACTGAGGATTTTGTGACATTTTGTATATCCTCAGTGTTTCCATCTGTGCATTCCTGTACAGCCATGTTTTTGTTTCATGCATGCATGTATGCATGTATGTATGTATGTATGTATGTATGTTTGTATGTATGTTTTTGAGGCTAGGTCTCACTGTATAGTCTAGCTGGCCTCGAAAGCATGATCTTGCTATCTCAGCCTTCCTGGTGCTGGGATTATAGGCATGACACCATGCCTTGTTTCCAAGCAGTTTTTGTTTGTTTGTTTGCTTGTTTGTTTTTTAAGTGTATAACGCTTTTCAGGAGCAATGGCACAAAATTTGTGAGGTGTGTATTTACTTCCACAAGACACATCAGAAATTGTCCAGTTAGTTAGCCTAGTACAAGTTAAATAGCTGGGTGAAACTTATGAAAGTTCAGGCGTAACATCCAAGCTTTGGTTGCAGTAGACTAAATGAGACATTTATTTATGATTGGCTCAAATACTCAGAGCTTGTTGGAGGCTTCTTTCCCCCTTAAACATCAGCTTAGAAATCAAATGGGTTTTTTTTTTTTACTATCTATCTATCTATCTATCTATCTATCTATCTATCTATCTATCTATCTATCTATCTATTTATTTGAGACTGGTTTCCTATATAGTAGCCTTGGCAGTCCTGGGCTCACTTTGTAGACCAGGCTGGCCTCAGACTCACAGATATCCACCTGCCTCTGCTTCCCTGAGTGTTGGAATTAGTCAGTCATGCACCACAGAGCCCAGCTCAAATGATTTATTTTAAAGGGACAGTGTTTTTATCTTGTCAGTACCCAAGTACTGTATCAGGCAACTAGATGCACTGACATGAGGAATTAGGAAGAAAACCAGGTTTATACATCTGAGAAACCACAAAAATCCCCAGATGTTAAAACTTTGGGGAGTCCGTTTTGTCTTCTTTCACTCAAATGTATGCTTTTGACCATTTTTGCAGGGTATGGGTAGGGGTGGATTTTTTACTTAGGCAAAAATCTCGATGCAGCTGTACTGTGAGTTGCTAATATGTCTGAGTCAAGGAAGCAGGCTTGAGGTTGAAGACATAGCTGATTAGCCTTATCATTTAGTCAGAGCAGTCTTTGTATACGTTCACTTCATACTATCTTCCAAATACATTACAAGGATATCACCACTTAAAAACAGATTTTTCCAAAGGAAAAAGAAAAACTATTTTAATACTGAGTTGTTAAGGGAAGGAAAACACCCAAGAGAGATTTCTAGTAGTTTGTAACTTTGTGCTGTTGCTAACAGTGATTTCTAGTTTTCAAGAGATTTTTACAATGTGTTTCAGGTTTGATCTGTGGTTTCTGAAGTACAAAGTTTTTAACCTGTTACCTGTGGGTGTGGTATAGAAAGTTTTACAACTTGTGGTAGTCTGTTTGCCTTCAAGCACAAATTTGCTATCTGTGACACTTTGTAATTTGAAGATTAAGGAATAACGAAATATTGTCTGCACAAACAAAAGTCTTAATGGTCCTCAGTGCTGCGTTGCAGCTCGTTTCCTGCCATTTTCCTCAAATACTCGGCTCATCCCAAATGAAATGGCCTTGTGTGTTAACTTGTTGAGCTGTTGGTCGTCCTGGGCCTTTGTCTGGAGGCTTGAGAACTGTGCCATTCAATGCTGTGGAGCTATGAGGATTTCACTTATTCTTAACTTCCCTCCACCATGTCTCTGTGAAAGATTTCACGGCAAGTTAAGCTACTCAAAGGAAGGAGTTCAATTAGGCCATTTGAGTTTCTGCTATATGTAAAGCAGATGCTTATAAAATCAAGAACACAATTGAGGCTCTCTTCTGTACCACTTCAGTTGTGGCTAATATATTCCTACATAGGCTCGAAGCTTCTGACTGCTGCTTTCTGAAGGGCATGGAGAAGCCAGGGGTAGGACACTCCCCAAACCCTGGCTGGAGCAAGGAGCAAGCTCACCCTGTGTCTTTCTTCCCTTGTAGGGATTGCTTTCTGAAATCCTCCGAAAGGAAGAGGACCCCAAGACTGCATCCCAGTCTCTGCTGGTAAACCTTCGGGCTATGCAGAATTTCTTACAGTTGCCAGAAGCCGAAAGAGACCGGATATACCAGGATGAGAGGGAAAGGAGTTTGAACGCAGCATCGGCCATGGGTCCTGCCCCTCTGCTCAGCACACCACCCAGCCGCCCTCCCCAGGTGCAGCCATCTTTTCCTTACAGTTTTTTTCTCCCACCTTAAAAATTTTTTAATGATGACTCTCAGCAAGAAATTGGATAAATAGCTACAGATTTTTGAAAGTTCCATAGACTTGCATCCCAAATCACTAATTCTGATGGAAAACAATCCACTCCTAATTAGAGGAAAGAAAACTGCCTTGTGTTGCTCCAAGTGTTTAGGTTCTTGAGGGTTAAAGAAGTGACATATCTGCCTCTATTATCATTATTACAGAGGTGCCTAGACACCTCAGAACAGAAATTATATATAAGGCCTGGTTAATGTCACTAGTTTAAAGACTTCCATTTCAATAGTAACTAAAAAATAAATAAGTAATTCCATTTATATTTATGCTTTCCAATACGGACTGCAGCTGGTACCAATTACATATCATCTCGTTTGTAATCTTTCATAATTAAGTTTAATACAATCCTTGAAGGCAGCTTTAAATGGGACTGATAAAGAATTCTATCCGTATTCCCAGAAATGGGCACATTTTCTCATCCTTCAGAATTTTCCACTGTTTAGGAAGGAAAAAAGAATCTACCTTCTAGGTAACTTTGTTGTGCATTATTGTTTTAAATTGAGTTTTGAAAATGTCCTTATAACTACTCTGAGAAGTCAAGAAATGATCCTTCAGTACAAACTGTTAGATGAAAGTTTGATAGATTAAGCTTAAAATCCACAAGCAAATGTATTCTATATTTAGTTTCTAACAGGTACAACCTGTAAAACTAGAATAACTTTTAAAGTTCTTTAAAAGGTTGAATACAAAACACAACTTCAGAGTATTCATGTAATATAATGTCATAATATAATCATATGTTGATAATTTTGTTTCCTCAATAATAAACAAGAAGTCCATATATTTCTGAGTACAGAAGTATAGGGAAAGCCCGTTCAACAGTAAGAAATGAAACTGTTACAGAAACTTTGGAAATGAGGACCAGGTACACTCATTGGCTATTTGTTGAAGGTCTTGAGCTTTGGGTATAATGTTCTATAGTAATTATTTCTAAAATCCATTTTTAGTGAAAATCAATCTGTCTTAATGTCTACAGGAGCAGGATGTGATGAGGTAGCGCTGTTCTGTGAGAGAAAATGGTCACTTTGTTATACATAGCTTGCCTACACATAGCTACTCAGTTGGATTAGTAACTCAACTATAAAAGATTCCTTAAAATACAGAATTAGGAACTCTCTCTATGTGTGTATGACTTGTCCAGGTGATTACAGAAAGAAATAAGAGACTGTCAGTGTTTACCACACCCTTACTTTTTACAGTAGCCACTCAGAAGGTAGTTTTACATCTGGGGCTGCCAGCCTGGCCTTACTCTTTCTTGTCCTGAGGTGTTTAAAATACTTCTTTAATAACAATATGAATTTTACTACCAAGAATCTTTTTTTTTTAATCTGCCCAATTATTTAATTTAGTGCTCATACAACTTTCATTTTCTAGGATTTGGGAGATTTTGTTTTCTAAGTATGATCCTGATGATCATGGTAGTCCTTACTCATGGAGAGTTTTCTTAGCTAAAGTTATATTAGTTCTTAAGTAATAATTTTCATATACTCTTAAGATACTATTCAATAGCTTTCCTGCGTGTGTGTTTATAAAGATACTATATCTTATTGTATGTAAGCTAGAAAACATGTAATTTACTTTTCCCTAAGTTATAGGCTTCTTGGTTGAGACAGCTTTTGCTGCATTTTCCCCCCTTGAATGGCGTTAAGACCAACCAGGCCTGTCGTGGGGTGTTCAGCCAACAGTGAACGTAGGACCTGGGCAGACAGTGCAGCCCCTTTGTGAGCTGCTTCCAGATTCTTGTAGCGTAGCTTTGTTTGTTGTCTAACCACACCCGGAGATGACTGTCTGATACATGTAGATTTGCTCCGCAGTGAACTCATTCGCGTTATTCATTGCTGTAACAGTGCTCATTGCCAATTGGTTACATTCTACCCTTTAAAGCAGCACATTAGATTGTAAGAAACTCTTGATCTGTTATCTCACTGGAGCTGGGGAAAGCAGCTCTCAAGCTTGGTAAGTTACAACTATTTTGAACCAGCAGTTCAAGTTAAAATAGAACTCTCAGGAGCGGTTTTCACATGCTTATTACAGGTAGCTAAACTGGAAAGAAAAGGTGGGAAACAACATAGAAACAGCCTACAAAGTTGTCTTCAGTTTTGTACATCACCAGAGAGGAGTCTCTGTGAAATCACTGCATTTCATTTCCTATAAAGCAAAGAAAACTGAAACCTATTTTGAGACAGATTTTGAGTTTGGGCTTGCACTCTGATTCTTTCTGATGAAAAAACAAAAATAAAAACAAAAAACAAAAAACAAAGCATCAGAGGTGCAAGGCAGAGGCCCTTAGTGACTCACAGACACCCAAGACACTTGCAAGCTGGGAGATGGGAATCTCTTCAGCTTTTACAGGCATAGCTCACACCTTGAGAGATTTTGCAGTGTACCTGGGGCATCTTAGATCAAGGATATATATATATATATATATATATTTTTTTTTTTTTTTTTGCCATGTGGAAGAATGATTTATTAGAACAAATTCCATGACAAATCATATAACATAGCCATTTTCAGAAAGACAGCCACAAGACCACCTGAGAACATTGTACAGAGATACCTTTAAGAAGCCAGGCAGGTGCAACACCAATGCCAGGCCGAAGGCTAGAGTGGTAAAGGAACTGAATGCGGGAGGAACACCAATTTGTGCATTAAAAAAAAAAATAGAGTGATGACCAGGGGTGGGAGGCATGGACTCTGCAGGACAGCCATTTACTTTTGGGGAGCAGACTGTGGGCAATGTATGGGACATTCAGGGGGAGCAGCCACCAAACAGCAGGCTTTACAACGCGTGTGTGCGCACACACGCACACGTAAACATCAGGTGGGCTGGGCAGAGGCACGCAGTGCGTGTCTCTCTATCAAGTTAAGTGTAAACAGGGGGACCCATGCTTCCTGAGGGCTTTGGGTCCCCCGCCGCAGCTACCTCTCCCAGCGGATTGGTCCTGTTCAGGAGCAAATGTCAGGCAGGGTACCGGGCGCACCCGCGCCAGCCTGGTCGATATGGGACTCTCCTCATCCCATTCCAGCCAGCAGGCTCTTTGGCTTAGTGCCTCCAGAAACATCAGCAGGGCGCAGTGGCAGGGCAGCCACATCTGCTCCCCTGGCAGGCCCCAGCCGAACAAATCCTGAGAAAGCATAACCAGTAGCGGGCCTGTCCCTGCCAGGCCCCCACGAAGGATCAGGCCACGGGAACCTGCTGCAGTCGCCACACCGTGCCCATACCATCCAGGATGGCAGGGGCAGGTACGTGGTTTAGATCACAAAGCTTCCAAATCTCTTTTTCTGACACTCTGGTAAAGCACTCACTGTAACCAAAGGGACCGCTTGCTCACCACCTACACCCAGCCCCGCTGTAAGGAAGCCCGGGCTTCCTTCCTTTGTGTCCTGTGCAGATGAGTGGTGTGTGGAGGTATTTGGGGAAGGAACCCCACGGCTCTGAGCCTTTGGTGCCAACACAACTGCCAAACCCACTGAGTTTGGGTGGGAACTGTCGCAGCAAGCCCTAGACTAAGGATTTTAAATCATCTTGAGCACGGGACTTCCTTGGATAGACTGAGTCTTCGGAAAGGTGCCCTAGGTATACCTTCCTGGGAGACAGCCCAGCTTATAGGAAGCAACAAAGCTCATGGCTGCGCTTACGCCCCTGACGCAGTTCTGTCTTGAGTAAGCCAGTAGAGGCCACCATTTATGGCGGAAAACTGTGCTAAACCCATTGTCAAAAGCATATTTTCAAAAACCCCATGCTATAATTTTGAAAGAAAAACTACCTTGTAGTTGATAATGCTTCACAGTTTTCTAAGCACCCTTCACGTGCATTAAGTCATTGAATCCTAATACCAACCCTTTGCCAGGAGAAAAAAGAAAAATCCGAGCTAAATGTTTTAATTAAAGTTTTCAAATCCTTATTAAATTTGTTGCATTTTCCTTTACCTAAGACATCTCAAAATATCTTTTTAGGAAAAGGGTGAAAGTCAAAGAAAATGGGAATGCATGGGAATATTTCCTGGATGCAATAAATTAAATGTTTGACAAATGATCCATTTGGAATGACTTTGCACAATGATATTTCTGGCATTGTAAAAAAAATTCACTTTCAAAACCTTCATCATAAGCAAATACTTTTGTCTGTCTTGTAAATTTGTTTTCTGACTATGCTGTGCAAAGTTGCCTAATGATTTTAATAGAGGGATTTTTTTTTTAATAAGTAAAACCCAATTATTATTTCCTGGGAATGATTTGTCCTGCAGAACAGATGGGCTTATGCTAATGCCTTCTACTTCAGGTGTTTTTTTTGTGGTGTTATTTGTTTGTTTTTATACATGTTGACTTCCAGAGTTCATTTCCCAATTTTAACTTCTATAAAAACTGTTTGACAAGTTGTAATTTTTAAATGAATTATATAGTTTGTTTAAACTTTATGTCTTTTGCATCTCTTCCTGGGATTCCTTAGCTTCTTTCTAAGTAAGCTGTGATGTTACATAGAAACGAATTAGAAAATGTAGCAAGTCCATATAAGGAATATATAATTAATCTGGCCCTGTATGGTTCTATCTTTTCACATCAAATTCCTTCATGATATAATGAAGCACAGGTTCCCCTTGACTCCAGGTTCAGTTCCAGGCGTGAACTCACCACTTGAGAAGAACATTATTTGTTGTGGATTCCTTGAAAAGCGTTAACTTTTATGTACTTGTGGAATGTTTCTCATTAGCAGTTGTCTTTTACAGGGTATGGTTACCTCAGGTCTGGGTTTGTAAAGTAATAGTACTGTTCCTGTGAAAGAAAGTCAGGTCCAAACAGTTCAAACCATGACACTAAAGGCAGTGTTACATAGGACTATTTTCCATCACCCGTAAATAGGCCCACAAAATTATTAAGAAGAGATAATTGGCATACTTTGGAAAATAAATTTAGATTAGGTTTTTTATGTTAATTATAAAACCATTAGCTTCTAAAACTGAGAACGTAATGAGCTAGATTTAAGCAGGCCCAGTGTGCCTTGATCACTTAAGATTTTTCCTTGTAACAAGAACCCACAGAAGAAGGTACACCACATAACCAACGCCCTGGTCTGTGAGAGAAGCACGGAGGTCAGCAAGCTGAAGTTCAGAGCTCAGCCTGAAGCAAGTGGCCAGTTGCTTCCTGTGCTGTCGCAGCTTTTCCAGGTTTAAAGCAGAGCCCTCGAAGCACCTACTGTGGCCTGTTAGGTAGTTCAGGAAGTTAACGTACACTCGCACAAACCAGCCAATGAATATCAGCCTCCGTTCTCCAGATTAATTGAGGAGCACAAGACTGTGATTCTGTGTGTGTAAGAGCCGTGTGCGGACAGGCAGCTTCTCCTGCGTGAGGTAGAGCACATTTGCCCTCCTGTAACAGAAGCCTGACGGTGTGATCGGATGCATTTATCAGTCAGTGAAGAAGCAAAGCAGACTTCTCATGTAAAATGCGTGCTTCGCTGCACGATTTTCGTGAAATGAAAAGTACCCCCCCCCCCCGTGCCGAGCCTGTCCCCTACAGGGGAGGGTAAGTAGCAGCTCCCATTCTTTACTTCCCTGGCGCCACTGTAATACCGCGGCAGTGCGCGCTACCTTGATAAAAGCTATTCCAATTGCAACTGCATTTGCTCTACCTGTGCTATTTGTGGAGAGGAGTGTAGAGTAGCTTGTTTTGCCTGGGATGAACTACTTTATGAATTTTAATGGTTGATGTAATATTAAAAGCTAAACCAGGATTAAAGAAGTGTGTGGCTTTTTGTTTTTTTGTTTTTTTTTTTTTTAAACTAAGCAAAAACAGTACTTAGTAGAGTAAAATAGAAAAGATTTTTGTTTCCATTTTCTTTTTTTTTTTTTTTTTTAACCTGGGGAAAATTTCAGCTTTCATATTTTTTTGAAAAGCTGCCCAAGTCAGTTCCCCTTAAGCAATCCTTGGTGTTTAGGAAAAAATGTGGCTCTAGAATTCTAATGGCTTATCTGTGATAAGATGTGTATCAGGGCCGGCAAGAGGAGCTTTGCTAAATACTTTTTAACTGAGTAATGCAGCCAGCTACTAACTCTGTATTTTAAAAGTTTTTTTTTTCCCCACATTCTTTTCCTTTAATGCTGCTTTTCTCCTTTTATTCCCCACCACACACACCAGGAAGCGAGTATTCAGTTATTTTTGTTTGTTTGTTTATTTGTTTTGTATTTTTGTGATTTAGGATTCTGGCTTTTTGGTTCAAGTTGTAATTGCTTTATAGAAAACTTAAAGAAAATTTAAAGAAATTTTTATAAACAGAATCCCAGAAACTTAAAAGCTCGGATTGAATTTTTACAAAAGACTGAGAATTGTTACACCAGGTAAAATTCTAAGTTGTCTAAAACCAGAGCTGTTCCCGCTGCTACACGGATGGCTGCCAGAGAACTGTTTCTTCCAGTGTGCTGGACTTTGAGGCCCTCGTTTCCATAACATTCAATTTTCAAAGCAACTAAAATGGTTTTTCTCTTTCATTAAAGCGGTAAGAAAAATAGGTATTAGAAGGGACCCCGTGGGGTGATCAGATCTATCCCTCTGCCTCAGAGCAAGACCACCCCAGAGCAAAGTTTCAAATCTCACCAAAGCAACTTTGTAGGCAATTTATGGTAATGTGTTAACTCTTCTGGCTCCTAACATGCTGTTTAGGAGATTATGGCTTCAAAGCCCTGTGGGTTCCTAGTGGCCTCAAGTCTTAATGGACCCCTTGCTGGTATAGACCCAGAGCTGGAAAAGGAGCCCTGGAGATCTCTTGGCACTCCCACTGAGACGGGTTGACAGTTTCACCTACCCTGCTGTACTTGGCACTTGTGTGGTGCAGCATCCATCACGCAGGCCAGTGCTTTCCTTCTGAGGCTGGAGATGGGGTGGCGGGTGTCTTGCTGGGTCCCTGTCTCCTGGAGATAAGTCAGGGCAAAAAGACTTTGCTTCCAGGCTAGAAGTTAGGATTCAGAAGGTCTTCTGTTCACTTTCAAGAACTTAATCCCCTTCTGAGGCAACCTCTACTCACTTCCATGCAAAGCCTTTTGGGAACAGAGTGAAATTAACATGAAACACTACAGTTTGACATTTTTTATGTGTGCATTTACCCTAACGTGTGCTTTATTTTTTGTTGTTGTTCCAAGTTTATTTGCAAGATAGTAAGTCCCTAGAGAAACCTTGGTGTCTATGAAGGACCCCAAGAAGTGAGCTCCTTATTGCTTCATTTTGCTAGGAGAGGCATGACCCTGCCTCTGTACTAAGATTTCAATTGCATTTTTTCATCAGCTTCCCAAGAAAAAAAAATCAGCTTATTGTTCATATGAAGAGCTCCAAAACTGCTTCATATACTTGCATGATAAAAATTAAAATTAGAATTAAAAATTATAATGGTATAAAATTTTAAGGTTGTGATTTGGTTTTCAAACTCCCAATTTTTATTAATGGGGGGCATTTTTCTTTAGCCATCCTTCTTATCTCTATTGTCAAAGGCCTGGTACAAATTTTTGTGTGATTGTACATTTTGAGTATATATGTAGAGTTCACTGATGTTATATTTTGTGTAAATTACAGAAATGTTCAATTACATTTCAAGAAACATTTTATTATCATCTAGTTCTATAAGTCAAAGAAAGTCATTACATACAAGAGTGCCAGGAAAAGATGAAATAATCAGACGGAACAGCTTGGACATCATGTGTGAAATGCAACCAGCCTTTATGATAATTGAGCAAGGCTTTCTACCTGTTTCATGGATGGATAGAAGATTTAAATATGCAGTTCTGTAAATGGCTTTATTATGGAAGATTTTAAAATGAAACATAAGAGGGAAAGGCATTAAAAAAAAGTCTGAAATTAAAAAGGCCATAGTATAGAACAGCTATCAGTGAGGTAACTGTCTATTAGGCACTGACCACCCAGCAAAGACTCAGCACTGTGCAGTATGATTTTAATTGTGAATTTCCTTTGTTAGGGCTGAAATGGGAGGTAATTGGGAGACAATTAGTTCAGTGTTTTCAAGTCCTTGAAGCTCCTCTCTTTTCCAGAAAACTTACTTTATGGCATTATTTTTCCTGGTTGTCATCTGGCAGTTGCTGTCACATTACAGTTGCAATCACCTGTGACAGTGTGACTTCCTTAACTTAAGCTATCTGATCTCAGGGCAATAACTAATGCTGAATGACCGCACTGGTGATCACCTTGATCGTAAAAGGAGTAACGATGCCCAGCCTGATGCCGAGCCTGAGAAGTTCTGAATCAATTTGGCTAATGAAAAATGACAGCCATGCTCAAAATGTTTTGTAGGTGAAAACAGCTACCCTTGCCACTGAGAGGAATGGGAAACCAGAGAACAATACTATGAACATTAATGCCTCCATTTATGACGAGATTCAGCAGGAAATGAAGCGTGCTAAAGTGTCCCAGGCACTGTTTGCAAAGGTTGCTGCCACAAAGAGCCAGGTAAGTGCCTCTATCTGGCATGAGAATGTTTATCCGTGACGCCTGTGGCATGGTCAGTGAAAGGCATGTCTGTGTTCAGTGTGAGTTGGCATCACTGAAAGGTTGCAGCCTCCAGGACTGCAGAGAGAACTCTGTAGGGTTGAGAGGTAGGTTGTAGCCACTGGGTTTCCTGGACCCCCAGCTCCAAAAAGAAGGATTTCTCGGGCAGCCGTGAGTCAGTTCGTTGTTGCGCTCAGAAGTGGACTGCCGTGTGTACACGGTAGGCTGCTGTGTCATGGTAGAGCGTGTAAAGTACTGTTGCTTCATCATTCTTGAGAGGACCTTCAGTCTTATTCTAAGATCCTCGCTTTTTGTAGCTAGTCTACCTACAGCTATTCTACAGAAACAAACCACAGGCACCATTGCATAGTAGTAAGTTTAGTTCTTCTGTAGTTGTGCACAAGACAAACTGAGCTACACTCAGAAAACGTGGCCAACTCTGATGCCTTACGTGGAGTTAAACTCGCAGTCAGAGACCTCTTCAAAGTAGGGTAAAAATAACGGCCTGATCTCACAGCTCATTACCTGTGTGATTCTCTTATGTTGATGATTGTTCATTAGAATCATCTGGTAGAACAAGCTCACAATTGTCTGTCAGCCCTTCACCAGAACCACGAATACTTTTTAAAGGTTTAGAGTACGGAATTTCCTTCCCTTTCACAAAAGGACTTGGTAACACTGAGGTGGGACTTAGAAGCACCCAAGGGCTTGGGTGAGATTTGGATAACTTGAAATGTTACACAATGCTATTTTCATAATCGCTACATGCTCTTTTATCTAATATCCTAACTGTTGTCAATTTGTGATAAACAATTCTGGGAGTACTTACAGCATGACAAATTTATAGCACAATACTTCCTTGGCTTTTCCTAAAGTTTTGCTCTGTCTGCATTAATAATGGTGCTTAATGGGGGCTTTACTTTAGTAGCGTGTTCCTCCTGTTTAAGTTGTAGGCCGGATGAATACTTAAGGGATATCTTGGAAATGTTATATAAAAATGATTGAACTCAAGCTGTGGACTGTAAAAAATTATAGCTTTATAGGCCGCATGCCTGCCTACCCTTCAATCACTGTCAAAGTGATAATTTCTACAATAATATGTTTCTTTTATTGTGAGATTCTAAACATCAAGTACTGTTTAAACATTAAACCGAATTGTTTATGTTAGTGCTGCACTCAGCGTGTCATACATCAGGCCACCGTAATCTCTCATGGAATGTAAAATTCTGTCATGAATCATGGCTTGCATATCGGAAATTACTGTAATTTTGATTGGAAATTACAGGGCTCTTGAAATGTTTCTAATTATGATAGAATGTGAGAACCGCTTCAAACCTGTGTGCTTCTTCAGATGTCTTCATTTACATGCCAAGACTACGAGTTAAGGAGAAATGTCCTGTTCTCACTCTACCCACCCACCCGGCACATTCTTGTTTTGACTACTTAGTCTAATTATGATGAGGATCTCTTATTTAAATATATATTATTTTGCCTTTCTTTCTGATCCTACACTCCCTGTCTCACCCCAGCCTGTCCAATTACATAATAGACTGCCTTCCTACAAAGGCCGGGCACTTTCTCCACATCTTCAAAATGGAGGAGTTAGACATTATAATTAGGTCGGCCATGGAAGAAAACAAACAAAAATTAATATTAAGGCTTTTTAACATGTATCATTTAGTTGCCTGTCATCTGTCATTTAATTCCATCTACTCCTCCCTCCCCTTGCTATTTCCTTTCTGGTAAGTGCCTAGCCACCTGTGGCTTGCCTCTTCCTCACATGACAGAGGAGGTTCTCCACCTTTGGATTGAGTTACTGACTCAGGAGTCTTGTGGGAAACAGCAGTTTGCTAATGCAGGTCTGTTTGGTGTTCCGGAGAGTTCTTAAACATTGTCGGTTTCACCCTGTCCTTTAGGTCTACACTTCTGGAGTGTTGATGGGCAGCTTTAAGTATCTCCCATCTCTGTATCCCAAGAGCACCCCAAACAGCTACTCTTCCTATTAGTGCTTGAAGAAGCTTCCAAGGAGCTGGTTAGAGGGTGCGGGCCAAGTGGACACGTGACTCTTATCCCCTTGAATAGTTATTCCCAGTTGCTAATGTATTTTACTTCCTATAGCATTTTGTATTTTTTTTTCTTGCTTATGCAGTTTAGATGTTAACACTTCCCTCTTTGTGAAAACACGTGCAAAGCCAGGGATTGCCTGGGAGCCAGAGTCCAGCAACTGTATCCTAATAGGAAATCTGACCAGGAAAGCTGAATTTAAGTTTTGCTCTTCTGTCCTCATGCCTCCTAAAGGAAACAGAAAAGCTAATGAAAGTCTTCAGACTGACCTTTACATGGTAAACATTTCTAACTTCTAAGATAATTGTTTACACCTCAGACAAGTGAGTCCGGGCTCATCAGAAGAGAATAGCATTCCTCCAGGTGGGGTGTATATAAAATACGATATCTGCATATGAGCCTTAAGTTACAGAGCACTATACACAAATGACAGCATTTTATAACCTGCTCAGTAAGAGACCCAGCCCTCTCCATGCGGGAAAGTGATTTATTTATCATGTACTCATGTATCAGAATACCGTCCTTTTAGCCTGTACTACATCATCTCATCTCTTTGATGAATAATAGAAACGAGATTGTTTTAACTCTAAAAGAAATGTCTAAATGAAATATGCAAGTGCAAACCAAAGGTAGGATACTTTTGCGCTTGGTTAGAAAAGCAGGCTAACGCAAACCTGAAAAAGATGATGAGCTTCGAACATAATGTGAATAACCACCAGTGAATACACTTTCTATTTGGGACATTCAAATCAGCTGCCGTTTTTTTCAGGTGAGTCAGATTGGAATTTTATCAAACATTTAGTCTGATAACATTCAAATTATTATGGGAGCAGGATTTGCTAATTTTACTGTTTAAAAAAAAAATAGTTGATTTGGGTAATAACCATTACTGTGTCAAGGCTCGGTTACTGTTCATTGGCTTCAGTGTTTTCATGTGGGAAATGGGAGTGGAGTTTTCTTCCTTAATAGTGGCAGATGTTAGAATCTAATTTTATTCCACAGCAAACCCCCCGAGAGCTCTGAGACTTCAGGTGTGTGTCCAGCAAGGGGACATTAACAGCACCGTAGGCCTGGCCTTGTACTTGCAGTTTTTACACTGATTTTTGTGTTTGTAGAGTGGCATCTGCAGACCCAGTGGCACAGGCAGATCAAGGGCTTTTATCGCATCTCCACTCACGTTAGGAGATGATGCCTCTCACTTGCTTCACAGATCCGCGTGCTTCTTCCGGGTGCAGTGGGGAGCTGCTGTGGTGGTATCTGACTGAATAGTTCTTTTCAATCTTTGCAAGGGAGAGGGCTCTGGCTACCTTGGCTTGGGCTGGTTTAATAAGTAGTGGGTTTTTGTTTGTTTGTTTGTTTTTAAACACATTTAAAAAAAGAGGATTTTTACTTTAAAATAGAGTATCTTGTAGAACAGCCCAGATAATTTAAGGCCATTTTTGTTTCTCCTGCCTGTTTTAGATACTTCTCTCTGTGAGGTGCAGGCTGTAGTGTGAATGGGAGAAGGAGTCAGGTCGATGAGGAACAGATCTTCAGCGTTCCTTGGGTTGTAGGTTTAAAAGATTTATAGCATCACTCTGACTTGTAGGTTTGGTTAGTTGAGATGTCTTGAATACAGTCAGACTGTCACAAACCAGGGGGCCTAGAAATCGGGCTAAAAATGTAGCATGTAAAAGAATTTATAGTGACAACACCTAGAAATAAACCAGGGAGCCTTTGACACTGTATCCCAGCATGTCAGGGAAGGCATCATTGGTTTTGTTAAAGCAGACTTGCGCTCGGTAGAAGCTGGGTGCTAATTCATTCTCCTAGAGTGTTCACGTCACAGACGCTGCTGTGGCACGATTTCACCTGTGCAGACTTTTATTTAAGGCACCCAGGAGGCCCTGCAGACATGTGAATCACAGTTTCTTCTTATTTCTGGTGCAACATCATTCAGCAGCAGTCTGTGAGAAGATCCCTGTGCTGTGTCCTCAGAGCCCATCTCCTAGATGTGTGGAGGGTCCTTGGTGAGAGCTGTTCCTTTACAAGCTGTACCTGGTCCTGCTTTCCAGATGGGTAGAGCCAGACCTTGGTAACTGGCAGCTCAGCTTTCTCTGTGTCTACTTGCCTGAAGGAGGAAGGGCAAGAGGAGCACTGATGAGAACAAAGAGAAGCTCAGAGCGTACATAACCCCTGCAGCTCCCATGACACTTCTGCTAGGTCAAGTTTAGCACATGCTTGACAGAGCCCATCCACTAGATTCTTGAGTGAGAAGGAGGGGTTCATTGGTCTCCTCTTTAGGGTGTTGGTAACCATTTGCTGGGAATCCATATTGCTCCTGTTTTCCGGAACATTGATCTGTCTATTTCCAGTTGAATACTAAACCAGCCTACTGGAGTTGATGGCTTTAAGAACCAGCCACTCTTGACAGCATGGCAGTTCATCATCACGTGCTAGGTGACATTTTTGTTTTTTGTTTTTGTTTTTGTTTTTGTTTTCAGGACTAGTCAGTTAAATTTGTAGATCTAAGTAGGATTAGACTTATGTGTTCTGAAACAAATACATGTTTTGTTAAGTCTAAGGTTTTATCCCTCAGGTCTAGCATTGTTAAGTAAAGTATGTACTTGCCCATCTTTTGGCTAAAAATTTTTATAAAGGAATATTTTACTCCTTAAATACTGTTCCTGCTTAAACAGAGACCTTTGGCTCTCTTGTCACTATTTTCAAATGATTTAAAATCTTACTTTTTACCCTTTAAAGTTAACTGAAAGCCATAAATATTTTTTCCTTTTCCTTTTTTTTTTTTTTCTGTTTGTTTTGTTTATTTGTTTTCAAAACAGGGTTTATCTGTATAGCCTTAGCTGTCCTGGACTGACTTTGTAGACCAGGCTGGCCTTGAACTCAAAATTGATTCT